TATCATTAGGCACAACCGGTTCTTTGTCAAGCTCAGCAAATGCTCTTTTGCTCAACATGAAATTGAATACCTGGGGCATTGCATTTCAGCAGCTGGAGTGGCCACAGAGCCCTCAAAAATACAAGCTGTTCAACAGTGGCCAATTCCAAAGAATTTGAAGGAACTAAGGGGATTTTTGGGGCTAACAGGATATTACAGAAAATTCATCAGGAATTATGGCATGATAAGCAGGCCACTCACTGAGCTATTGAAAAAGGGTGTGCCTTATCTGTGGTCTCCAACAACTCAGGAAGCTTTTCTGCTATTGAAACAAGCTTTAGTGCAAGCTCCAGTCCTAGCTATACCTGATTTCAACAAGGAGTTCATATTGGAGACAGATGCTAGTGATACTGGATTTGGGGCTGTCTTAATGCAAAATGGTCACCCAATTGCTTATCTCAGCAAGCCAGTGTGTGCAAAAAACCAGGGCCTATCTACATATGAAAAAGAATGTATGGCAATAATTATGGCTGTTGATAAATGGAGATCATACTTGCAACATCAAAGGTTTGTCATCAGAATTGATCACAGGAGTTTGTTGTTTTTGACTGAGCAAAAAGCAAACACTAAGCTACAACACAAGGCTTTGCTGAAACTTATGGACCTTCAGTTTACTATTCAGTATAGGCAAGGTTCCAGTAATGTAGCAGCTGATGCCCTGTCTAGATGTTCACCTCAAGCAGTTGTCTGTTCCTTGTCAGCTTGCACACCTGCATGGGTAGCTAACTTGGTTCAGGAATACAGTAATGATCCAATGGCAGTCAAGCTACTTGAGCAGTTAGCTATGTCCAAGTCCAATGATCAGGGGTATACTCTGACTGATGGTGTCATTAGGCTCAAAGGCAGAATCTGGATTGGACAGAATGCTTTGGCTCAACAACATATTCTCCAGTCTCTTCATAGCAGTGGAATTGGCGGGCACTCAAGACTTCATGCAACTTATCAGAGGATAAAGAATCTGTTTGCCTGGCCAAAAATGAAGGAGACAGTGAAGACTTACATTCAAGCTTGTCAGGTATGTCAGCAGGCTAAGACTGAGAGGGTCAGATTGCCTGGACTGCTAGCACCTTTGCCTGTCCCTGATCAGGCCTGGAATGTGGTTAGTCTGGACTTTATTGAGGGACTGCCTCCATCAAATCGGTATAACACGATATTAGTGGTGGTTGACAAGTTCACCAAATATGGGCACTTCATACCACTGTCTCACCCATTTACAGCACTGTAAGTGGCCCAAGTATATATGGACATCGTCTATAAACTGCATGGATTGCCTCAGGTACTCATTTCTGACCGTGACAGGATTTTCACAAGTACTGTATGGCAACATTTGTTCAAATTATCAGACACTCAACTGCACATGAGCTCCTCATATCATCCTCAATCTGATGGTCAAATAAAACGTCTGAATCAGTGCTTGGAAGCTTTTCTTAGATGTTCAGTGCAATCCTATCCAAAGCAGTGGAGCAAGTGGCTCCCATTAGCAGAGTATTGGTATAATACTTCTTATCATACAGCCCTGGATAGAACTCCATTTGAAGTGCTTTATGGACACAAGCCAAGACATTTTGGAATCAGCAACAATGATGCATGTCATCCCACTGAATTGGAAGAATGGTTAACTGAAAGGTAGCTACTGAATCAAGTCATTCAGCAGCAATTACTGAGGGCTAGTCACCGTATGAAAGATCAAGCTGATAAGGACAGGTCTGAAAGAGAATTTGCAGTAGGTGACTTAGTCTATTTGAGACTGCAACCCTATATTCAAACGTCAGTGGCTTCTCGGTCCAACCAGAAATTGGCATACAAATACTTTGGGCCGTTCAGAGTACTTCAGAGGGTTGGTCAAGTGCCATACAAATTGGATCTGCCAGAATCAGCCAAGATACATCCAGTAATTCACGTCTCTCAGCTGAAGCGTCATGTTCCATCAACGGAGATTGTGTCTGATGAACTGATTGATCCGGCTTCAGTACTGACACCACTGCATCTTATTGACACTCGGCTGGTGAAGAAAGGTACTGCCACTCATACCGAATTGCAGGTTCAGTGGTCAGGGTGGCCGGAGAAGCTGACAACTTGGGAGGAGGCATTTGATTTGCGGCGGCGATACCCAGATGCTCCAGCTTGGGGGCAAGCTGGATTTCAAGGGGTGGGCACTGTTATGTGCCAGATGAAGAAGGCAAGGACGGTGGCTAGAGTTGGTGCGACGTTCAGGCTCGCGTCTTGGGACGAAGTTAGCTGTATTGGGCCTGCGTGCCGTGTGTTGGGTATATAACCCTTGTAAACCGACGGTGGGCGGCATCGAACAGAACTGAAACCATTTCTCCAACAAACTCTGTCTGAACCCTCCCCATTGCTGTTCTTGCTTCTCCCCTGGATTCCCTTCTGATCTTGTACCCCAAACTCTATCCATTCTGAGAAATCCTATCAGTTACCTGTGTTCGATCTGTATCTGCGCCTGAGTACGTTACACGAGAGCACTACCGGTTTTGTTTCAGTCGTCGTGCAGTACCATTTGTTGGTCTATAACTAATTTAGGGCTTGTTCGTTTGAACTTATCAGCTGGTTTATCAGCTAGAATCTACAGTATTTTTATCTCATAACCAAACAACTTCAGTTGGCTTATCAGTCGACTTTAACGCAAGCCGAACATGCCCACGAACGCCCGGTGAGAAAACAAACATTATTAACTCGTTGTGGGCAGCACCGATTACTCCGTGTTGTTGCAGGAGACGCAGGCACAGCCGTCCAGGTGACGACCGTACCTCTCAACAGGTGTCCACCAGGTGTGGTGGACTTGCGGCAGCAACTGCAGGTGCACGGCGTTGTTTCCCCGAATCACTTGCCAGCAGCCGCGGCCCGCGTGCTGAGTGTTGACCATGACCACCTACTTGCCCGCTACGCCAGCGCTCACGCACTCGCGTAGGAAAGTTTAGCCGCCGCCGTACATGATTCACTTGTCGCAGTCCTGCGAGGTACGAACGAAACATCCTGCATCGTGCCCTGCTCCGACGCCCATCCTTTTGTAGCAAATTACTCCCTCCCTCAAAACAAAATGCAATTCTCTCTTCTCAAACAAATTTGAATTTAATAAAATTTAGGGTAAAGTCCACTTTAGGACCTCCAACTATCGTAGAAGTATGGATTTCAACCTCCAACTTCAAAACCGGATAACATTGGTCCTCCAACTCTCGAAAAAGTTCACTTTAGGACCCTGGCCGGTTTCCCAGGCGGTTTTGCATGGCACTGACGTCAGCACTCCTTTTTAATTTGCAAAATTGATATCTTTTTATTCGGAGCTCCAAATATAGCAAATAATATATTAATTTTGATCGTCTCGACGAGCTCTTTGCAATGGTGCACTCCGTTTTGTTGTTTGAGATAATTTTATTTCATGAAAAAATAAATATTTCTACAAAACAAGTTATGCAATTAAGCTGACGTATGCAAGTATTTTATATACTTTGTATATTTATATATGTACAACACCAACGTAGTCAGTATATAAAACAGGGAGTTGGACGGTCAATCGAGACCGCCACGATCGCTAGATATTTTTGAATTAATCTTCCCTAGCTGCGGTTAACTAACTGTCAACATATGACACGATCAAACGATATGTTTATTGCTCCTAGTGTAGTTTTTTTTTTTCTTTTTTGTGGTGAAATTAAGTAGCTAGTGGTAGTAGTAGTATTATATTTATCTTGTACCCAAATCCGATACAAAGATATCGATTCATGTACACTGTCCTTTTTCTTTTCCTATGGCTACTATTGCAAAGACTACGAGGAACTGGACGACCATTCGGCCGACACACGTATTCTGCTTTCTGGTGGCATGGCATGAGTATGACCGCATGAAGTGGCGGTGGATAGCTAGATTGAATTGAGGGAGCAGTAGCGAGCAATAGTGAGTGGCTTACTCGTGGTCTAGAATCTTGTGCGGCATCGGTAAGTTGAGCGCGTGCCCCCGCGGGAAGGTCGTCCGGGCGAGGATCTCCGTGGCGTCGGCGTTGCGGTCGCGCCTCGTCGCCCTCGCGCGCCGACGCGAGGTGGCGGCACACGTAAGCGAAGCTCATGTCGTGCGAGCCGAACCTAAGACGGACACGGCGCCCTTGTTGAATTATTGCAGAAATATTTTGAATTATTGCGAAATATTTATGACCCCAAGGCGGACACGAAGCAGAAATATTTCTACAAAACAAGTTTTGAATTATTGCATTTCAAAAATGGTCAAACTTATATATTCTATGGTCAAATGAACCTAAAAAGACAACATTTCGTGTTATATAATAATAAAAATATTATTTATCTAACAAATTCCACGAGTTCTGTTATTCTAACTTGTTTTGTAGAAATATTTATTTTTTTCATGAAATAAAATTATCTCAAACAACAAAACGGAGTACACCATTGCAAAGAGCTCGTCGAGACGATCAAAATTGATACATTATTTGCTATATTTGAAGCTCCGAATAAGAAGATATCAATTTTGCAAATTAAAAAGAAGTGCTGACGTCATCGCTGACGTCAGCACTGCTACAGTGCCATGCAAAACCGCCAGGGAAACCGGCCAGGGTCCTAAAGTGAACTTTTTCGAGAGTTGGAGGGCCAATGTTATCCGGTTTTGAAGTTGGAGGTTGAAATCCATACTTCTGTGATAGTTGGAGGTCCTAAAGTGGACTTTACCCTAAAATTTATAAAAATATTTATAAAATCGAATAAGTATTACCAAATTAACTAAAATGTATATTTAATATTAATAACAAATAAAATTTTAAATGTAATGTTGATAAAAAAAAGGCCGCCTTCTCAAGATGACAACGTCGAAATCAAACAGTGTGAGTGATGTGCCATGTCCTCCCCAGTCCCCATCTAACCTAGCTGCTGTGTTATTTAGCACACGCAACGACGAGATGCAGCAGCGGCAAGCATTAGTCCAACTCCAAGTCTCCAAGCACCATGCCTTCTGCGCAGGTTTTCCTCTGCCTTGCCGTCATGCTTGCTGCGGCGGCGGCTACCGCTCAGGCGCACCTGCAGTGCCTCGACAACCCGCCGGAGCGGTCTCTTCTTGGCGGCCAGGCCGAGGCCGGCGAGGTCGTCCACGATCTCCCAGGTGGCTTCAGGGCCTACGTCACCGGCGCCGCAAGCTCTAGCCACGCTATCGTCCTCGCCTCCGACGTTTACGGTCGGTGCATCGATCCGTTTTATATAGTCGTTTGGGCATAGATACGTTTTTGACAGGAAGCGCTCATTTCTCCCTCTAATTTTTTGATTGATTCCTGCAGGGTTCGAAGCACCATTACTCAGGTACGTAACTGTATCCGTTGCCAACGTTCAGTTCCTTTCTTGTTCTTCTCTGGTGTACTGGTATCGTGGTTCTAAAAGGCTCTGTTCTTGGTCGACTACAGCAACCCCAATTTTAGGAGACTTCGAACAAACAGATAGCATGCACTCCGCTAAATTGATCTTAGTTTTTCCTTGTTTGTACTCCATACATCATTTTCTTTTTCTATAATATTGTTTTAACATTTGGCTGGCACAAATGTTGCATCTCATACTACACTAGGAATCTTATAGTCTTGAAAACTCTAAGACAAAATTGTAGCTTTAGTTGGAGGCTACACGGCATCAATCCATGCCCTACATTATCTGTAAAGTGAAGGATTAGATGGTCATTGACAGCACAAAAAAGAGTTGGGGGACCGGGACATTCTAAAGGTTTTACAAAGGAACATACTAGCTCCTGGAAAGTTAAACATTGAGACATGATTCAGATGCCGAAATGTCAATTTCTTCAGCTAACTATTAAAGATTTTCAGTTGCATGCTATTTTCCTGAAAGGATGAAACAGTCCTAGGTAACGATCACAGTGTCATGTGAAAGTATTCTGTCGGCAAAACGAACAGTCTAATCTAATAATTAAAAGGGGCTGTGTCACAGCTTCAATTTGTAGACCCATCACGGTTCTGGTGTGCAGGCACTTCAGTGCTGGTAATAACACGAAAACGTTTGGAAGGGATGAACTGCCTTTGGGATTGACAGACTGGGGTATAGCACGAATAGTGAAATTTGGGTTCGACAGCTAAAAAACTGGGAAACATTAGAGCCCTCAAGAAACATTACGTAAAATTTTAGAGTGGCGGCTTTATGTTCGAACGATGACGCCCATTCGAGCAAAATGTTTGTACTATGATTGACTCCGTCTTCAAACAAACTGTCATGGTCAGGTTGCTAGGCCTTATGGGCTGGGTCATTAATTAGCATGAGAGGCTCATTAGGATTAGAGATAGGGACAAAATTAGATATTTTGCTTAGGTGTCGAGTAAGCCTTCTGTACATAATGAGGCAGAGCAGATGTATCAATTAAAGGAAGAAAGAAGTAGATCTATTATTCCAGTTCACTTTTCTGAGAAACTAACAATAATGCTCTGAGGTATTTATGCAACACAAGTTTAGTCCTGCATGTATGATAGATTACACTTTGCCCAGGCTACACATATTCCCCTTTTGTTTCCGCCCTTTTGATTTAAAAAGTTGAAAGCTAACTAGTACTGATGGGCGTTTAATAATGCAGAAAGATAGCCGACAAAGTTGGTGAGGCTGGATACTTCGTTGTGGTGCCTGATTTCTTCAATGGAGACTATTTAGATGAGAAGAAAAATCTTACGGAATGGCTCAAGGCTCACTCTCCGGTCTGTTCCACACACTCGTCAACTTTCATTGTCTTGTCCCTATCAATCAATATATCGTCATGCTTCTGTTCGATAGTGTATAACGAATGGTTCAAAACATGTTAGTACATTGTATCACAAGAAACAACAAGCAATTGATTGAGGACCCTATCAATCTTACAGGTAAAAGCTGCTGAAGACGCGAAGCCACTGTTTGCTGCTTTGACAAAGGAAGGAAAGACCATCGCTGTAGGAGGTTATTGTTGGGGAGGTGTGTGAAATCCATATCAACTTAAACAAATATTCCTTTTAGGCAACGCATAGAACATCCTGTTTCTTATCGGCCTTGTTGCTGCTTCCTTCACTGGCAGGAAAGTTTAGTGTGGAGGTGGGGAAAACGAATGAGGTTAAAGCCGTATGCATTTCGCATCCTTATAGTGTGACTGCGGATGACATGAAAGGTACCGCTCCTTTTCTTTTTCTGTGTCCGCAACCTTGCAGCCGCTTCACTAGCCTTATGCGCTGGATTTTCATATGCTAACTATGTTCGTTCAAAACAGAGGTCAAATGTCCAATTGACATCCTTGGAGCTCAATACGATTCAAGCACACCGCCAAAATTAGTGTACCGGTTTGTGCATGTACTGCGTCAAAGAGAAGAGGTGAGTTCCTAGTGATTTCAGTGACACTGTCTGTCTGGATACCAGTTGAATTGCAGCAACTCATCTTAGTGGCACTGTCTGTTGCAGGTTCCCTACTATGCCAAGGTCTTTCAGGGAGTTGAGCACGGATTTGCCTGCAGATACAATACCACCGATCCTTTCGCTGTCAAAACTGCTGAGCAAGCCCTAGCTTACATGATCAGCTGGTTCGACAAATACCTGAAGTAAAGGACTACCCAGTCCGCGGTCATTCAGATTTTTTTTTTTTTTGAGAAAGACTAGGGGGGGGAGAGGATCCCCACCTGGAATTATATTATAGTGAGAGAGAATGTTCAGATTACAAATTACAACCAGATCGCATTACACCAGGGATTACACAAGACCAGGAAGTATACATCAGAGGTAACCGGGGGGAGGTTTCTACAGCTTTGCAGATATTGGAGCCAAGCCTGAAAACTTTCAGGGCTGCCCACCTTCTTCAGGGCAAAGCGTTTTCTCCAGGTTGTCAGGTCATCTACGACTCGAGCCGGTCATTCAGATTTAATAAATAAATAAAAGATATGTATTAAAAAGCAGTAACCAAACCCAACGTACTGCTGTAAACTTTTGTGTTAACTTCGTGGCTCCCCAAATTGAATTATGGCTAGAAGCTCTGTTGTAATTTCCCTCATTTTTTTTCCACACTTTACTTTTTTGTCTCTGAAAACTTTCTGTAACTCCTTTTGCTTTTTATAATCATAATAAAGTTCACTAGGGGTATATACCCCTCCTGTTTTCGTAAAAAAATGCATATATGTAGCTTTATACACATAACACTATGTTTCTTGTGTGACCTACCACAAGTTTCTACAATGTTTGGACTTACAAAAATCCAAAATATTTATGGCTTTTTGTGTAGTGCTCAGCATAATGTAGAGCCACGTCTACATAAAGTCAAAACTATCAACCTATACATATCAAACTAGGTGGTTTATTGCCTACAAATTAGGTGCTCGAAACTAAGTTGTTGGTTGCCTACAAACTAAGTGGTGCATTGTCCACAAACTGATTTATTGTAGGTCTTCGCTAATCTTCAATGGAGTTTTTATTTTAGGGGTTTCATTTGATTCTTTTTCAACATCAACTCAATGTGTGCGTGCGCAGGGGTAGGGTGTGTGCACATATATTTATATAAGCGAGTGTATGTACATGTATGAATGTCTGTGTCTGGATTAAAGGAAAACTCTTCACTTATAGAAAACATGTTTAAATCTAAGCCTAAACACTGACCCATCCCAGACTAAAATTATAGGCAGCCCGACATAGACCCACCTCTCTCCTCAACACAGACCCATCTTTCTCCCTTTTCTCTCTTGGTCCAGCCCAACCGCGGTCCCACCTCCCCTTCTGTCTACATACACACCTGACATTTTGCCTAACTGAAGCTAAGCAAGTAAGCATAGGTCCACAGTCCACCATCACACATGCTCAGACACTGCACATCGCGCCAGCTCCACTCGCTCATATCCTGCCCCTTTTTTTAGTGATTCTGCAACATACAAAAAATTAGCTCCATTTATGATTTGTTACTTTTTTTTGTATATATTCATATATACTTCAAATGGGCAGCAAAAAGTAGTAATGCATTACATCATGATGGCCTCATCCATACATCATAATAGTATTCCTCACAACATTTCTCGAACTGAACATACGAAGTAATAAATGTTTCGACTGAAACTCGATGGTTAAGGCTAGCCACACAGTTGCGGATGGCTAGCACGTAACTGACGTCGGTTAATTGTCCCTCAAACGATTCTTTTTTTTTTTGAGAAAAGAGGGTCATATATTATTGAGAATAGTTTGAATTACAGTCCTGAGCAATGAGATGCTCAACCAACCTATAGCATATTGAAACGCCACACCGCTGCACTACCGGAAATTGTAGGTTTGCCGAGTGCCAAGTTCTTTGTCGAGGGTATTCTATCGGGCACTTGGCAAATAAGCTATTTGCCGAGTGCTAACACAAAAACACTCGGCAAACTATTTGCCGAGCGCATAAACACTCGGCAAAGTTCTGCACTTGGCAAAAGAGGAAAAAACACTCGGCAAAAGCAAACACTCGGCAAAGAACTTCATTTTGCCAAGTGTAAATCTGTGGCACTCGTCAAAGAACTTTATTTTGCCGAGTGCCGTGATCTGACATTCGGCAAAGCTATCTTTGCCGAGTGTCCTCGATCTGACACTCGGCAAACTCGGCACGTTATAAAAGCTCCTGGCCGCCGCCCCCTCCCTCCCACCCTCCCCTCCCTCTCCCGGCGCCGCCCCCTCCCCTCCTTCCCTCTCCCGCCGCCACCCCCTCCCCTCCCTCTCCCTCTCCACCCTCCCTCCCGGCGCCATCACTCGTGCGTCTCTCTCTTCTCTCCCTCATTTCTCTTGATGGCGAGAGCCCTGCAGCTCTTCTCTCCATCACTTCTCTCGATGGCGGGCAGTGCGGCTCTCTCTCGCGGGCGGTGCAGCTCTCTCTCTCTCTCTCTCTCGCGCGCCGGAGGCCGGAGGGCGGATCCGGTGGGAGAGGGCGGACGTGGTGGTGGCAGGCGTGGTGGTGACGGCGTGGTGGTGGCAGCGGCGTGGTGGTGGCGGACGTGATGGTGGCAGCGGTGTGGTGGTGGCATCCTGGTGGCAGCGGGCGGCGTGGTGGCGGCAGCGCGGCCGAGCCGCGTGCGGGGTGGGCGGCTTTTTTTATATTTTTTTGATTTTTTTATGCCGAGTGTCGGTTTTAGTGCACAATAGAAAACACTCGGCAAAGAAACCTTTGCTGGCACTATGTACGCCGAGTGCCGTTTGCCGAGTGTAACACTCGGCAAAGGCTTTGCCGAGTGTTTTTTGGGCTTTGCCGTGTGCCGTGGACACACGGCAAACCTGGGCATTCCGGTAGTGCTGAGTGCCTATTTTGCCTAGCCAGCTGTGCAAGCTCATGAGCTGCACGATTTTGC